TGACTCACGGTCTCCCTCTGGCCCTCTGGCGAGCGCACGTGCCCTATAGCAAAAACCTCTCCAAAAAAAATTAAAAAAAAGAAAAGTATTACTCACACAGCACCTTCAGTCAGCTTCCCTGATAGACTTCACATGAGGCTGTATTTAAAGAGAAGCAGCGGCACACCTTTTGGTTCACGTCTCTCTCCCCTTCGGGCAAAGCTCTGCACGTTCGGGATGATCCTCCTCAAATAAGCTTTGGGGAAAAGGTGAAAGTGTTGTGGTGGTTAGGGCACTGGATTCCCAGGTGGCCAACCATGGTTGGAGTCCCAGACCCGGTGGCTTGAAAATCACCCTAGGTGTGTGTGTGTGTGTGTGCACACACCCCAAACGCCCACTGGGGAATGGAGGAGAAGGGATTGTGGGGTGGCCATTCCCCCTTGGGGGGTGATTTCTCACTTTCCCTCTTACTGTCTCTCCAGTGAGTACATGTGCCCTATGACAAAAACCTTTAAAAAAAAAAAAAAAAGACGAAGAAGAAAGCATTGGGGGTATCCTCCGAATTCCTGGAGAGGGTCCTAGAAAACAGGCTAAGCAGCCCAGAGAGGGGAGTGTGGTCAGGCTGGGACTTTGCAGGAAGTTACCAACTGGGCGTGGAGGCTCTACTTTGTAACCTGGATCCCAGTTTCTTGTGATCCCCCAAACCCCAAGAAGAGGGGTGGGAAGGTTTTATGGGAACCCAGGCAGGCAGGGGACATTCCGGGAAAGGTGGCAATGGCTCAGAGACGGCCTTGATGTAAGGTGGCGGTGGCTCGGAGACAGCCTGATGGCCCCTCTCTGGTTTTGTCTCCCCCGCTAGAAGAGCACCTCTTTCTGATGAGGAGTCCACGACAGGTGACTGCCAGCACTTTGGATCTCAGGAGTTTTGTGTCAGCAGCAGTTTTTCCAAGGTAAGGGGCTACATGGAGCCACGTGCTGCCCGCCAAAGGGTGGAACTGAGCTGCCTGGGCGATGTGCCCAGCCTGTCGTCCCAAGAAGGGGGGCAGGAAGGGACAGGGTATTTCCCGGGACTTGCTGTAGGTGGGACAGAAATTGGCTGGATGCCCTTGGCGTCTGCCAAGGCCTGGTTGGTTGAGTTGCAGAGGTGACCAGCAGTTGCCTCTCAGGAGACCTGGGACGCCACGCCTTCCGCAGGGAGCCGAGACACACGTGCCATTCTGCCGTTGCAGGTGGAGCTCGCAGCGGTCGGAAGCGGTAGCAATGCCCGGGGGGCAGACCCAGATGGCAGCGCAACAGAAAAACTTGGGCACAAGTCAGAAGACAAGTCTGATGACCCCCAGCCAAAAATGGACTATGCTGGGAATGTGGCAGAGGCTGAGGACCTCTCTTTGCCACTGAGCAGCCCAGGGGACGAGCTCAAGCTCCCTGCTTCTGACAGCGCCGAGGCCGGCAACAGCAGGGCTGACTGCGCCTGGACTTCCCTCAACACCCAAATGAATAAACAGGTGGACTGCTCCCCAGCCGGGATGAAGGCTTTGGACTCTCGGCATGGGAGTGGGGAGAAGAATACTTTCATTTTGGCAACTCTGGGAACTGGCGTCCCCGTGGAGGGGACCCTGCCACTGGTTACCACTAACTTCACTTCGCTGCCAGCCCCCATCTGTCCTCCTGCTCCGGGTTCGGCCTCTGTCCCCCCGTCTGTTCCGGACCCGTTCCAGGTTCCCCTCTCCGTCCCAGCCCCAGTGCCCCATTCTGGGCTAGTTCCAGTCCAGGTTGCCACTTCGGTTTCAGCTCCTTCCCCTCCCTTAGCCCCTGTCCCCGCCCTGGCTCCTGCACCGCCGTCAGTGCCCACGCTCATCTCTGATTCCACCCCTCTTTCTGTTTCGGCCTCAGTCTTGGTGCCCGTGCCAGCTTCTGCGCCCCATCCTGGCCCGGTTGCCCTGTCAGCTCCCACTCCTACCCCCCTCTCAGTCCCAGTTTCAGCTCCTTCCTTGGCTCTGATCCAGGCATCCGTGCCCCCCTCTGCTCCAACCTTGGTCCTCACTCCGGTCCCTACTCCGGTTCTGGCTCCCATGCCGGCGTCCACACCTCCAG